AATGGATTCGTAAATACATAATTTCAACAAAACCTTGGGCCATCCCTTTTCATTTACCAACGGCTGCTGTACGTGAGGCTTCACATCAAAGCTTTCATAGACTGATTTGGAATCATCACCAAGTTCAGCCTATTTGTCACTGTTCGGACATTGCAAAGTTTTTTCCAGAATTACCAAAAACCGGCGGACATTTTTATGCTGAAGCTCGTGACATTGCTTGTAGACTGGATCCAGATCTCGCTATGCATTTGGTGCACAATAGTCACACACCAGTGTTTCCCAACAAGACAACATATATCAAAGATGCGCAGCAAAGATTTGACCGTTGGTGTAAGCGGCAGGGTTTGCCTACGTTGACATCATCTCAGTTTACAGATTTCTTGGAGGAGCAATGGCAGCAACATTCAATACATCACAAACGCCGTGCTTTGCGCGAAGCCACCCTTACCATGAAGCGAGTAATGTACTTGAAACGGCATGTTCTGAAATATTTCACTGTGCATTGTCAGGATCATCAGCCAGGACACCTCATGATGTTTTGCCCTTTACTGTATTACCAAGCTTCGCTCAGCACTTGGAATGTTCCGGATGTTTTTCAAAAACTGGACGGATCTAAAGAATCGCACCTTCAAGACGCATTGCGCAGTGTTCCCACATGGATAAAAAAGCGGTATGCATGGGGTGTAGACGAGAAAGCCTCACTACCGTATGGGTATGTCCTTCTCAAAAAGAAGAAGCAGTTTCTGTCAGGCCCTACGATCGTTGCGTATCGCGGATCTATTCTGGCCAAGCTGCTTACTGGTGCCGCACTGGTGTTAAAAATGATTCTGTTTACAATTTGGGGGGAGAATTTTGGCAGAAGTACCATGCCAGTCATGTGGCAGAAACTTCATTATGTATTTGCGCATACACACGTGGATGAAGAGCTGAGTTTCCACAACGATGACTTGGTAGGGTTTTTCAACAGCATCCCTCAGGACAGACTTTTGCAGATGGTAAAACGTTTGGTTGATGAGTACACAGCTCAGTCGCATTCAAAAACAGTAATGGTGGACATCACCAGCAGCGTAAAGAAGTCGGCAATGCATTCTGGATTTTCAAAACATAGCCTCGCTGCAAACAACAAAACGTTTGGAATCGCTGATTTAGTTTCAATTGTTCAGCTGTCTTTCGACTGTGGAACATTCACCGCTGTTGGCGGTATTTACAAACAAATTCGGGGTACATGCATGGGAAACCAGATTAGCCCCATTCTGTCAGAGATTGCTGTATCTGCTATTGAGATTTCATGGCTTCGCTCTTTCCGCAATATGTTGGCGACCAATCATGTTTTCAATTGTTGGAGGTATGTAGACAACCGTGTCATACTCATGTCAGACAATGCGAAGAAAACGCCGGCTGTTCAGACGTTACTGCGGGATGATTTTTACATCCCACCGGTAGAGCTGGAGATTGTCAATGACAACTATTTTCTTGGTTTTGACGTTTTGCCAAATCAAAGACGTATTACATATATACAACCACAGTACAAGTGGCAGATTCGACATCCCCACGGCGCTTGTTCTCTGAAATTGCTTTATTCGGGCCTACGTAGCAGACTCGCGCTTATTTTCAAGTATTCATTTCCATGTACAGAAATTGAACCGCAAACGTGGCGTCTTTGCGGGTTCTTCATCGACAACGGTTATGAACAAAGCCAGGTCTGCAAAACATTGGAACAGGTCAAAATAAAGATGCGCCGACAAATTCGTCATCAGTGTAGTGCAGTAGCACCATGCGCGTATCGCTGAGTAAAAAGAGGGTGGGTTATTTGACATAGTCGCCTGCATGTAAGATTCCACCTTAAGTAGTGCATTGCTGATTTTTCCCTGTTGTCCTCTCTCTGTCTCGAATGTTCGACCCCGCTTGAGGGGATACTGTGTGTGTCAACTCCTGTGCTCTAAGGACTTCGCAAGCGCCAATTTCCTTCGTTTCCGTTATTTCGCAACCATCCAGCATGCTATTAACAGACAGCAGAATTTGCACAACGGCAATCCACAAAGAAGACGGCGAAGGCATCAAAAGAGAATGATGATTTCAGAAAAACATGTTTTGCCCGTGGCGGTTTGCCTATCAGCGTCGCGCATTTCCAAGAAGTTGGATCAGTTTTGAAGAATGTCTACGCATTCACCATGTATGCATGTAATGTAGATCATGAGATGGCGAAGTCAGGAAGAGGATGAGCGCGGAGAAGCGTACGATTTTGCGCAGTGTGTTTCCTGTGGAGAAGTCCGAAAGATGACGACTTAAGAGATACTTCCGGTGTTCCCACGCAGCGATTTTAGCTAGGACCAGGATGTTTTCAATTTTCGAGCATGCAGGGGGTGCCAGGGATCATTGCAAGTCTGGCACTAACAAAGACGCTTGCTTTGATCTGTGACATCAGAAAGGGACGCCTTTCTGACGTACCTGCTCATGTGAAACTGTTAATCAAGCTGTTGCAGTCAGGCTGTTTAGGTAAATCAGGTCAGCTGCACTTGTTCGTGTCCCTGACATCGAAGGCGACTTAGGAATACAGGTCAGCACATGCAGTGTGTACTTCCGGGTGTTGGACCTTGCTTGGTCTCACCGCAATCTTTTTCATGAAGTGCAGTAACGTTTTTTTTTCAAGGAAGTAGGTATCAAGCAGAGGAACAAGCAAACAGAGGAACTGCTGAAGCCTGTCATTTTCACAGCTCAATTTGCGACCCTGATCCTTCATCTGAAGGTGACTGGGATACCAGTGTGTGTGTGTGTGATAGTCCGCGATTTTATACAGCCTCTTGCAATTGAATGGTGATGGCCCTGCAGTCACTGAAAACAATGAGAAAATGATGAAAAACTATGAAAAACAGAATGAAAACAATGAGAAAATCATGAAGAACTATGAAAAACAGAATGAAAACAATGAGAAAATCATGAAAAACTATGAAAAACAGAATGAAAACAATGAGAAAATAATGAAAAACTATGGAAAAAACAATGAAAACAATGAGAAAATCATGAAAAACTATGAAAAACAGAATGCTTTAAAACATGTTTTTATGTTTCCCGTTGTGGTACCCCGATGTAGTGCATTCTGTTTTATTAAAGCATTCTGTTTTAAAGCATTCTGTTTTTCATAGTTTTTTTAAAGATTTTCTCATTGTTTTCATTCTGTTTTTCATAGTTTTTCATGATTTTCTCATTGTTTTCATTCTGTTTTTCATAGTTTTTCATGATTTTCTCATTGGTTTCATTCTGTTTTTCATAGTTTTTCATGGTTTTCTCATTGTTGCCATTCTGTTTTTCATAGTTTTTCATGATTTTCTCATTGTTTTCATTCTGTTTTTCATAGTTTTTCATGATGTTCTCATTGTTTTCATTCTGTTTTTCATAGTTTTTCATGATTTTTTCATTGTTTTCATTCTGTTTTTCATAGTTTTTCATGATTTTCTCATTGTTTTCATTCTGTTTTTCATAGTTTTTCATGATGTTCCCATTGTTTTCATTCTGTTTTTCATAGTTTTTCATGATTTTCTCATTGTTTTCATTCTGTTTTTCATAGTTGTTCATGATTTTCTCATTGGTTTCATTGTTTTTTCCATAGTTTTTTCATGATTTTCTCATTGTTTTCATTCTGTTTTTCATAGTTTTTCATGATTTTCTCATTGTTTTCATTCTATTGTTCATAGTTTTTCATGATTTTCTCATTGTGTTCATTCTGTTTTTCATAGTTTTTCATGATTTTCTCATTGTTTTCATTCTGTTTTTCATAGTTTTTTCATGATTTTCTCATTGTTTTCATTCTGTTTTTCATAGTTTTTCATGATGTTCTCATTGTTTTCATTCTGTTTTTCATAGTTTTTCATGGTTTTCTCATTGTTTTCATTCTGTTTTTCATAGTTTTTCATGATTTTCTCATTGTTTCCATTTTGTTTTTCATAGTTTTTCATGATTTTCTCATTGTTTTCATTTTGTTTTTCATAGTTTTTCATGATTTTCTCATTGTTTTGATTTTGGTTTTCATAGTTTTTCATCATTTTCTCATTGTTTTCAATCTGTTTTTCATAGTTTTTCATGATTTTCTCATTGTTTTCATGGTTGTTTTTTAATAGTTTTTCATGAATTTCTCATTGTTTTTCTGTTTTTTTACATAGTTTTTTATCATTTTCTCAATGTTTGAAATAAAATGGTGTCAAAACATTCAAGACCTGTAACTAGCAGATTGTCAATCTGCTTATTACTCTCCATTTGATAGGAGGACACTATCAGGCGTTCAAAGGACAGTGTTCAAAGAAACCGAAAGGACCTGTAATAAGCAGATTAACAATCTGCTTGTCACACCCCACATGATCGCCATGGTAGATAAGAAGGCTCCAACACAACAGAGCATATTATGGGCAAAATCCAAAAGACCACCAAAATGGACAACTTTAAACACATACATGCATAAATATATATATATAGATATATGTGTGTGTGTCTATTTTTTGTTTATATTTTCTTTGCAAGGGTCAAGTCCCATTTTTGGGGATGTCAGGAAAATATGTGGACTTGCGAAAACAACACAAAAGCTCGGGCATCTCACTCAGATATGCTAGATGAGGGCACATGCCGGTTCACCGATGTTGAAGCCTTCATTGACCCTGATAAATTCCAGGGCGTAGCCCAATAAATTCCAGGGCACAGGCGTAGCCCAATAAAATCTGCACGGCAACAATTACCACAGTAGAAAATTAAACTGTAATAAGCAGATTTTGGATCTTTGGGGTATAAATGCATTTTGGACTGTAGTAAGCAGATAAACCTCACGAGTGGTGAGTGTTTTGAGCAATCTGCTTGTCTGCTGGCAGTGGCATAAATCTGCTTCTTGGGTGTCCCCTTCTATATATAATCCCCATTCCAATGAATCACCCTGTTTTCTGATGGTTTTTTCCCAATCAGATATGAATCGAAGAAATCCCCCGGTTTTCTGCTCGTTGAATTTTTTACTGAGGCACTGCCAAGGCCCCTCGGGGCTGCACTTGCCGATCCATGTGCAACGTGTCGCCGTCCTCCAGCACAGTCTGTTGCCCTTTTTGGGTACTTGGATGGTTCACCTCGCAAAGGGATTGGGGTGTAAGTGAGGAGGAGGAAAAAAAACTTGACTAAGCAACCCTACTTATTTTACTTATAACAGTGGTTACAACATGTTATAACATGTTATAACCCTAACCCACCTACTGACTGGAGTGAAGCACCAAGTAGGTATTTGGATATCCCTCTGGAAGATCTGTCCCAAATCGTGTGGGATCGCATATTCTCAAGGTCAAACATGGAAAACGACCTCACTTTTGGCCGTTTAGCAATATTATCTGCTGAAAAGAGAACCGGTCACTTGTTTTTTGGTGTCTTCGATGTCCGGCCAGCCCAAGTCCTCTAAACAAGGCCCGGAGCGTTGGAACATCATCTGTCGCGTGTCGAGAATCGGGAACCTTCCGGGAGCAGTCACACTTCAGTAGCTTCAAACACCTTCGGAGGTCAAGAACTTAATCAAATTGAACGATGTTGAACTTCTGTAGGTTGAAGAAACCCCTCTTTTCTGGCTCACATACCGGCTCATGTAGGTCCTCCGACCGAAATTCAATACGTCGTCTATGTCTTCTTGTGCTGCCTATTCTTCGTCCTCATCATCAGCATCACTTTCTGCAGTGTGAAACCTTCCATCTGGCAACCCCCTTCTGGAACGAATTGCTGCAAACGTGGAGACCAGCCATCAAAATAATCCATCATCATGCCATCATCTCCATAATAAATAAAGAAGCACAAGAAATCTCAACCTGGAAGAACATGCTTCAGCTAAGTCCGAGTTCTGCGCTCCAGCCTGGTGAGTGTTGCCAGACCATAGGAGGCCTCTTGAGAGCCCACTAAGACTTCTCCACTCCAACACCTGGCCTCAGCCATGGCATCAGAATCCATCAAGGGGTCCTACAAATGGGTCCAATTCCTTCCGTCCAATTCTCGAGATGTGCACTTTCTCATTGGACCTTGGAATCACCTCCAGTCTTCCACTGCCTGCTTTCCACCCCTCAATGTCACTCTTAATGTCGGAAGTTCCGGCCATCCCATCCCTTCCCAATCGAATCCAAGGAACCTCCTGGAAGGAGGCCTTCAGCGTGGCTGCGAAGGCGCAGTTCTTCAAGCCGCAGGCTTTCGCAATCACCTGCGGCTGGTCATCAGCGTGCCTTGGCCACAAATGTATGGCGCTTGGCCCACCATTTTTGGGGAATCATTTATAGAAGCTGGACGATTGTAGAGTTAGAGTATTTGGCTTCCGTCCAAAATGCCGGGGAAGAATTCTTCTAGCATTTTGGGGAGCCACTGGCATGTTGTGGAAGCATCATGGCTATATACAGTGCACACGGACAAAAAACCGGTTGGTAGATCTGATCAAATCAAGAAATATGTGTAGGGATACAAACCCAAAAAGGGACTGGCCATGTGCAAGCATCCGCGACCCTGGGGACATGATGGTATCCCTGCAGCAACAGCAACAACAACAACAACAACAACGACAACGACAACGACAACAACAACAACAACAACAAAGGGATGGTTAGCTGGAACCCAAAGTGGGCGGAAAGCGTGAAAGTGTGCCGAACGTCAGGGCCAACTGGAATTACCGACAGTATATCCCGTTGCCACAGGACTTGGTACCCCTCCAACGATTCTGGTGAATCTAGAATCCTTCCAACGTTTTCTTCCGACGTTGCACCTCATAGTTAGCTAACTTGGTTTGCAAAAAAGGCGCATCGCTGACCACCTGCGAGCTCGTCTCAGCTGCTTGTTCACCTCCACCTGCAGCCGCATTGTTCTTGCTCCCAGCCCCACCAATCCTCATATCATCTGGTGTAATTACCTCATCAACCATATCAACCTTTCCTTCAAGTAAAATGCCCCAAAACCATTCTGCCAACCCTCCAGTCTCACCACTCCGAATATCCATCCAACCGCCTCCTGGAGGCATGCGATTTCAGCCTTGGATCTGCGGATCACCCCAGCCACACGTTCCAAGTCGTAGGCGCCGTTGGTGCCCACCCCGCTGTGGATGTTGTACGTCAAGACGCCCACCATGGCGCAGCTGGCGCATGGCGCAGCGGTTCCTGACTCGGCGATTCGCACCGCGTCGCAGCCCTTTTTTTAGAACACAATGCTTCAGAGCTGGCGTGTGGAGATGGAGACAGAAAATCGATGACAATCGCTGGTTCTGAGTTTCCCTAATCTTCAGGCCATGTCAGACAGGAAATCTATTTTAGTTGAGGTCTCTGCTGCATTGTAGGCACCAAGATGACGCTCCAGTTGAAAGGCTGGTCGGATTTCTCTGTGGCCATCGATGTCTATTTAGGAGTGAGTGAAATTTGAGCCAGGTTGCATCTTTGTTTCCACACATCTTAGGCAGCGCGGCAGCTTACTGAATTTGCAGGGAGGCCCTGCCCCCTTTCTATCCATGTCTAAACTGTTCATCACAACATACCACAAAGCATCATCCCATGACCACATACCATAATCCCATGATTTTATAACCAGAATCATGTTTTGTCTATTTCTATGATCATGTCTGAAACCTTAAGATTATAAATCATAGATTCTCCGTGGCTCCTATCATGATGATTTTCTATGTATGAATCCCTATGGAACCAATGGATCGAGGGTCCAATCTCCTGAAAGTTGGAGTGTGAAAAGAACAACCGCAACTTGTTACAGTGGCGCATGAAAACATTAATATTTATATTAGATATACACAGTTATACACATATATAGCCTCTGGTAATTTAACATAGCTATTGAAAATTGCCCATTTAGTTGGTTAATTTACCTATTCAAGATGGTGATTGTCCACAGCTGTGTTAGTTTATTAGAGGGCATGTATACATCTACAATCATGTACACATACACATAGAGTGATCAATAAAAAAGGATAGCTGAGGTCCATGCTCACAGCCTTCGTCATCCTCCTAAAGCGAGTCATCCATGGAGAAGTCGTAACTGTTACCGTAAGAAATAGCTTAGCTCATCCATGTATAAATTATGGGATAATCTACGACTCACTGTCATTGATAGGATGAGCTTAGGGGAAAAAATTATCAGCAATCCATAGTTATTTGACCCCAAAAAAATGAGATTTATCCAATTTATCCTGATGATTTTCCATGATTTTCCCTTCAAACGATTCTGGAAATCAGTCCCTAACCAGGCTTTAATTCTGCACTTAAAAAACCACTTCCTACATGGGATGATCGGATGATCCTCCAAGTAGTTCCCGTTGATGATCCAACTTACCACCAACTTACCAGTGGCGAAAAAAAAACAGCCATAGATTCTATTTAAAAGAACCTTACTATGACCTTACTCATTACTAATCTACAACCGAACTAAGCTCTAGAATTTTGTATAGCTTAACAGCCATAGAACCCAACATCTCCATTTTGAGTCGTCAAAACGTCGAAACGTCGAAACGTCGAAACGTCGAAACGTCAACCGCGGTCCTCATCTCCTTTCTGCCTCCTGGCCTCGGACACCACAGTATGACACCATCAGAAAATGTCAAAAAAAAACGAAAGCGTGGTAAGTGATGGTATGCTGTTGTTCTATCTTTTTGCTACTATATCCAGAATCATCCAGAATCCCCACACTCTTTTTCAAGCCCCACAAAGTCATTTCAAACAGCCTCCAACGCACTGAGTCTTCGACGCTCAAGTTTTGAGAGTCACCTTGCGATGCTCACGGCCAAGTGATCATCCAAAACTTATCCTTTTGAATAGGGAAACCAATGAGACCCCTAAAAGTGCACCAATTGTCTGAAACATCCCAGTCTGTTGTGACTTTCTCAAACTTCGGAACCTGAATTGATTAATAAATTGTGCCGCAAAGGAAAATTATTCCTCATAATTTGCACCAAGATAATTTACAGTTTCCTGGGAAATTCCCCTAAACGACGACATCCCTAAACAGGCTTAAGCAGTGGCTGAGGAAGCGGCTGAGGAGTGGAGGTCCCTTTGGCGACCTGGCATGCGGATGATCTAATTTTGGTTCGTTTTTAACGGGTAAACAAGTGGTTTTGTGCTAGAACCCAATTTCAAGAAACCACGCATCACGAACAAACTGAAGGAAAATGAAACATTAAATTGAATGTATATTTTAAGTCCATCCTGATACAATAACAAGACCTTGGAAAAATCAGACATAGAGATACATTCGGTTGGCGAACAAGCCTCATTGGTGCATCTTTCTCAGCTTTGCAGTGCGGAGTCTGGGTCATCTACATGCCTGACTGAAATAAACGAACTAAAATATACTGTAAATAAGTAAAACCTCAAGAAACTGAATTATCATTGACACGGAAGGTAGATCAAAAAAATGGACCCCAAAAAACGATTTGCAAGAGTGGAATTTGTAGGGAGCCCCAAAAATGTGACCCCCATTCCCACACTACTCCTTTTTGGGACTCCCATAAGAATCCCAATAGTATGGGAAGCTTAGGGGATGGGGGTCCCATCATTAGGGGCCCCCAGACATTCCATGGAACTGTCGCTGTCTGTGGCTTCACAAAAGCTGATCGCGACATCCACCGAAGCTCCTGCCAGCGCGGTAGCGCAGGGTCCCGAAAAGCATGGTACTGATTGGGGTTGGCCCTAGAAGGTGATGCACCCCTGGTCATCTAGCATCTATATATATATATACGCATATATATATATATATCACTGTGTATGCATAGAAAATATACTGCGTATCTGTGTGTGATTTATATGTGCTCGTGCGTTTTTGTGAGTTACAATATATCACTAAAACAAACCAAAGCCGCTTTTGGGATGATTCCCGCGCAAGCACCCAAGAGGTCGAATCCACCGCCTGGAAACTGCAATCTTTTTCTCCATGTTTCAAGTCGAGTCTGGCTGAGTCTACTGGCTCCGATACCAATGGACCTTAAGCACTTCTGCAGCTGCATCCCTCAGATCCAACTTGTTGGGAAAAGCTGGGGATGCTTTCGAATTCAATCAATTGGCATATTTGACCCATCTGTTTCCTGAGAATTTTCGGAGGATACAGCAGCTGACATTTTCACAAACCACGGATGCCTGTTCCTCCGCGCTCCGCTCAAAAAACTTGGGATTTCTGACCTGCCCGCTGGTGCTTCCAGCGTTTGATGCCAACGGAAAAGTTGAGCCCCTCTTGCCAACTGCCAATACAGTGGCCACATAATAATTATAATAAATGTCTAGTACTTCCCACGTAGAACTGCGGATATGGTTGTAGAAGTGGTGTCTCCCAGCTCCAAGACTCTTGGTTGGCCTTGGGGGCTCGGCTTGGCACGGGCCGCGGTGGCCGCGACGCGCGGCGTTGTGAGACATGGCAACCCCATGGGTATCTGGTGCCTGGGGCCGCCCCTTTTTTCGTTCCCAGCCCCTGGAAACAAAAGCCCAAGGTCTGCCTTGCGACGCCTCGAAATGCCTCAGAACATGGACTTCTTGCGCTCGTTGAGCATCTTGTCCTGCCTGTCCTGCTCCACCCCCAGCGCCTGCGGACGCCTTGGCAGTGAACAAAAGAATCGTGCGCTCCCTGAAGATAAACACGGATGGCTGAGGTAAGGCTACAGTAAATGTAGATCATGAGAGTTTGCGGTTCGCATCATAAGCTGTAATTCCATGTAAACTCCCCTATCTATTTAGCATTATTTAGCATTATTTAGCTACCTATTGATCCATAACTGCCAGGCCATGCCAGTCCGAGCTGCTGCATGGGGTTTCCGCCCGGTCGCAAATCTTCTGGAATCTGCGGCGTCGCAGCTGGTGTTTTTTGCGTGCAATTCTTGCGAAGGCTGGAGCACTTAGAATCTACATATGATCTACATTAAATTAATGTTTTCATCATCTTCACCGTCATGGGGAAGCCATTTGGGTCACTCCACCCCACCATGAAAAATCAAGCCCCAGCAAAGTTTTTCGGGGACATTCTGCAGAATTGGTCCTTGCAAACCTGGGGGCCACGGTTCGGTGGTAGGAACAGGACTGCTGCAGGAAAACCAAATCAATTTCAAGGCTGCTCTGTTTGTCTTCAAATAGCTGTCCCAACATTGTCCCAACATCCGATGGCTCATCATCTTCTTCTGTTTTCCATAGATATCCATGGATTGAGGTCTCCCCCCAGCTGGTTTCATCAAGTTTCATCCCATCTTCATCTCTTTTAGCACATCCAAGACCAAATGATACCCTGCCTGGGACCAGTCCAAACGAGGACCTTCGGGCCAGTTGGCATAAGGATTCACGCCTGCAATCTGCGTCACCTCGGTTCAGTGCCAACTTGGTTCAACTTGGAAACCCCTCCAGCTCCCCAAAATGTCACCCCAAGGTGCCGCCAATCCGAGGAATCCGAGGAATCCGAGGAATCCGAGGAATCCGAGCGGCCCAGAAAATGGTGAGCACCGCAGTGAAGATGTAGACGCCGATCCTCTGATCAAGCAGCTACCCAGTGCTTTTATGTTGGTACGGTCGATGGCTTCAGTTTTTTCCCATTTGATTGGGAGTTTCAAAACCCTTAGCTCCAACATCAGTGGTCAGTTTGGTTCACTTGAAAGGTCACACAGTATTCACTTCTCAAGCCAAAGTGGGTTTGTGTGAACATGTTTTGCCCGCAAAATTTGACAGTTAGTCATCATTTTCCTAGAAAAAATATGCCACAAAATGGGATACCTGCCATATTCCTCGATGGCATCAAACACTTCCAAACAACTGGCCCACCGCCCACTGCCCTTGATCCCAGCATCTTTAAGGGGCTCGACCATGGGCTCATGTCCTATGCCAGGGAAGTGCAACTGGGATGTCCTTTTCCTGGATGTTGCAACACATTCGTGACCAGTGCACTTCTGTTTTTTTTTCATGACTTGCTTCGAACATGCCAAAACCAGGTGTCCGACTCGCAGTCCGAATGAAACAAGTCATCACTTGCGCAAGGTTTGGTATGTGTATATATATATACATGTGTGTGTGCATGTGTGTATGTATATATGTACGTATGGGGGGTTCCATAAATGGGGGATCCCCAAAAATGGATGCTTTATAGTTGTGGTAAATCCTATGGATGATTCAGGGGTAGCCCCATTTTTCCACGTTGGAATTTCCGGTGCCAGCTGGGGAACCTCTTCCGGATCTGGATTCCACTCGCCCCGCTCGGGAGAGTCGTCCCGGTCATCCATGACCCAAATGTCCTCGGAAAACTCATCGGTCGACATGGAAATTCTCTGACGTCATGGAGCGTACGTCGGTGACACCCCATAAAAAATGGCACTTCTGCATGGGAGAAACGATGATGAAAGCTATGAACACTGAAACTTTGGGGGTCCCCCAATTTTTTGGACGAAGCCAAACGGGAGATCTCGCCAGCTTGGTTTACAGATCCAGTGGAGAGTTCGGGCATGTTCCTAACATTGGTGTCTCCAATTGGTCAAGTTGGCCATGAAATCCAATCAAATCCCATGAAATCATATGAAATCATATTAAATCACCATTAAAGCCCATTAAATTCCACTAAATCATATTAAATCACCAGAAAAATCACCATGAAATTCCTGGCCTCCAATCGCTCCAATCCCTCCAAGTGCCCGCACGGACAAATCCAAGGCTTCGAGGAATTGCGCTTCTTCTGGGAGCGGGTTCCCGTGGAAACTCTGCAGGGTGAAAATGCGGGGAAATGTTGGACAAATGGGTGGTAAAGTTGTATAACAATGGGATAATAATGGGCATACAACTCCAAATGGTATTAAATCATATGTATATATATACATACATATACATATATATATAGTACATCATATATATAATATATATATATATACATTTAATATTGTATTATATTTTTATATATATATATATTATATAATATTATATTCTATTCTATATTATATTATATTATAATATATTTTATTACATTATATTATACATTATATTTATTATATTATATATTATGTATTGTATTATATTATACTATATTATATTATATTATATTATATATTTATAGATACATACATATAACATCATAGAACGTGCCATTTTAGGGGGGTGTGCGGATTGACTCGCACTTCTATTATCACACTGTCCCTCTGCTCACCACCTGAGTTTGTACATGTTTTTGACTCATGACTCAGGTCATATTATGCTTATGCAACATTTTCATACATGTTCTGCATGCCACTGCACGCTGAGCATGTGTAGCTTTCTTTCAGTGATTTAGACATGTTTCGATTCATGGTGACTGCTCTGCCGGGGGATGTATATTGTATGAGATAATGGGATACAATATGATCGTGGGCAACGGTGGCTAAGCAAGGAACTCACCATGAGCAACCAAGTTTGGAGAGTAAACGACACTTTGATGCCCCAAAAAGCAAAGAAATCCATACTTCCCCCAAAGAAACTGACACAAACCCTCATCAAATGTGGGAGTAAAGTGCCGTAAGTACCTTCACAGATCTCTCACCTCCAAGAACTTGGTGCTTTCAACCCGCCAGAGGTGGATGTTCCACATCAACCCCAACGGGATCTGATCGATGAAGAAACACCGAAACACCAAGTGTCCAACAGTTTCTTAATATCCGGGAAAGGCACTTTACAGTTGGAATGATCACTCACGATTTTGACAATTTAAAAAAAACATCTCCTATTATGTGGTGTATATAATCTACACATACATACACATACTATATAGGCTGAGGCTGAGGGGCCATTATTCCTGCATTTGCATTTGTAATCATCCACTGATTCTTCAAAAGTAGGATGGCCCTAAATCCACTGATCAATCATCTTGTTCATTGATTTTCGTATTACAATCCAAGTGCCCCCACAAAACCAAATGTGAGTAAAGCAATAGTAAACAATGCCCAATGTTTACCATAATAGGTTGTAAAAACCATCAAAATATGTGAAATCTGTGGTTCATCATTACTTTCCTAACATTACCTGAGATGATAAACCTGTCATCTTGGCTCCTTTCCCCCAGCTGGACCCCCCTGCTGTTCACCAGCTCGCCGTTGGCGCGAATCTCTTGGGCCTCTGGAGGGATGCCTGTCACCTCGCGGCTGGCGCGGACGGCATGGAATAGAGGAGAACAACGGTCGAAAATCATTGATCTGGGCAAATGATGGCCTTATATCATGGCCTTGATAATTATGGCAATTATGGTGAGTGAAAATCATTGAATAATTCACTCACCTGAAATGTTGGGGCCATTTTGGGATGATTCCCCATATAAAAACCATGATTCCAGGGCTCGGGAGAACAGGGTTCGGTCGTGATGAAATTTACCCAGATTGATGTACTCCACCTGGATCCCTGTTTTTTGGGATTTTTTGGGGGGGGACCTGGTTGGATCCATTTTTGTCATCCCATCCGTGACCTTCTGGATGACGCTCCGCAAGTCCTTGACGCGGTCTCCACGGTTGAACTGGATCTCGAAGGACAATTGGCCAGGTTGATTGACCCAAAACTTGCCTTCGCGGACGGCCAGGGAGGAAAGAAAATTTGATGGGAACAGCCAGGAAAAACTGCATGATTTGCTTTCGCTGAAATGTTATGCTTTAAAAGACTTTATTCCACAACAAGCTAGGAACCTGGAAAAAAAAGCTAAAGCTGCAGATCAGACGCCCAAATCCTCTCCCACGGGGGCGTCCTGAACTATCACAGCAACATGTACATAATATATACGTATACATATACATATGTGTGTGTGCTTTATATATACAGCCACTGCGAGCTGCAGGTTTGCCTCATGTGTTGTGCAAGGGGGTGCAAATACACCGGTCAAATGGCCGAAGACATTTCCCTAAAGAACGAAGCTTAAGGAATGGGCTGCACATATATGTTGCAGATCCACGTACCCCTCTGAAAAGCATCCTCATCATCCCGAATCAATGTGAAAATATATGCCGCTGCACAAGATGTTGCCAAAACCACTGACCAAGTCTACGTGGCCATTTCTACCATTGAACAAAAAATAATGTGGGTAAAACACTCATAAATCATCCCCGAAAAATCACCATAAGATTGGTGGTATAAACATGTATAAACCATTCCCAGTCATGGGTGGTTGATTATTGTTTTACCCACATTACCCTCTGGTAATTTAACATAGCTATTGAAAATGGCCAGTTATAGTGGATTTTCCCATAAAAAATTGTGATTTTCCATAGTTACGTTAGTTTACCAGAGGGTACATCTGACATCATCTGACGTCGAAGGTCCTGCTCCGATGCCTTCTGGATTGCCTCTAGAGTCTCCTCCTTCTTCTTGCGCATCATCTCCGCACTCAGCAAACGGCAGCTGGTGGCGATTCGGCGGTTGCCCAGTCAACATGGACCACTCAAAAGGTGGATGTAAAGGTCAAGAAACACCTTGACCAGCCATGGTGTCCACGGTTCATGCCAAAATAGCTGATAATTATGCATGCTCATCCCCCCCGCATACTCCATCTACCCACTTCCTTCATATCATCAATATGCCCATGCCGTGATCATTTCTTGCTGAAATGGTGGCATACCATCTGGTATAATCAAACGTGGCAACATTGGCAAACAAGAAAATGCCCCATTCATAAATGATTTTCCATTATTTTCCCAGCTATATATATAATATAATATATATATATTATATAAACCATTATAAACCTCCATTTATGGATAAGTTTCATGGGATTTTCCCATGAAACCCTCCATTTTTCGGGGAGTTGACCATCCTCTCGGCTCCGAGGGACTACTGATCCTCCTCGGTCACCACCGCCGCGCTGCTCTCAGCGGCTCGGGGCACTCGGCTCCGGCCTCGGGTGCCATGGCTTTCCACGGGAAAACCATGGGAAAACCATGGGAGAAATGGGTAAATCGTTCACAGGTAGGGGAATTCTCCATGGCTACGTGAAGGGGTGATGTGAAATGACCTTTGGCAAAAAGGGGAAAAGCATGGAAAAGCTGAATTCACATCCAAAGCAGAAACAATGGTCGAATTCTCTTGATCAAGCTAATCCATGCAAATCCAAACAACGTTCGTTGGACAAGAAAATGCACCCGCACCTGGGGCCGAGAAGGCCAAGGGCCGCAGGAAGACCAAAAGGCCAGCGCCCAAAACAATCCTGGACCAAGACATCCCCACGGTGTGGAGAAACTGAATGGGAAAAGATCGCTAGTCGTGCCTTTGGGTTAGAACAAAGTGATTTCAACTTTGGATTTGGGGGTGGTCTACCATCACCCCTTTTCACAACGCCTCTCTTTTTCCATAGCAGCTTCGCTTCAGGGTTTTATTTTTGGAATCTGCAGCCGGGACACAGTTTGAGACCAGAGCCATGTCGCGGCATGTCTTCAACACCTGGAGGAAGAAAACTGGTGCCCCAGCTGCCCCAGCCGAGTGAGACCACCTTCCGGAATGATTGGCACATTGTGGATCAATATTACCCTCTGATAATTTAACATAGCCATGGAAAATCACAATTTTTAGTGGGAAAACTCACTATAAATGGCCATTTTCAATAGCTATGTTAAATTACCAGAGGGTAATCATTGTGGTACATTTACATATTCTCTCTATCTCTCTCTCTATGGCCATCTCAACAGGTGAGACTGAGACTTACTCATTTCATCTCATTTCGCCGTTCTTGGTGGGAAAGTCCAAACTTGCTCCAGGTTCCCTTCTCCCTTTTTATCATCCACGTCCCCTCAGAAATCATGGCACGGGGGCGGATCTATTCGTTTTCGCCTCCAATTTCAGCGGCCCAGGATGGGTCAAAATCACAGGATCCAACGGATCCAGGTCACAGCTAAACCATTTATCCATTTATCCATGTTCAGTCCCACTTAAGCGCCTTGGCTGAGCGCGTCGACGCAATAGCCGGGTCACTGTCTTGGGCTGAAAAAAGCTGTGGAGCATCCGACGGACCCTGCTTGGTCAAGTCATTTGGAGAACCAAGGCGCCAACGGACCCGGAAAATCGTGATTCTCGGCTCCCGACCTTTCTCATGACAAATTTTGGCCCATGTGGGGAACCCAAAAACAGAAACCCCCCCAAAAAAAAAACAAGTATTGAACATGGATTTATCTCACCAAAGACTGTAGAATTGGGTCCTGGCATCTGTCGAGTGTATGTATGGATCCCAGAAAAACATCAGGGAGTCCGTTCCCTCAGCCAGCTGCGTCCTTGCAATGTCATATAGCACGCCATGGCCGGAAGCTCCACAGTCCCCAACATCGATAGAATAGAGATCCCAAAACCATTGGAAGCTATGAAACAACAGATTGCTGGTAATGTCAACCCCGGATTTTGCTAAACCATGGTTTATTAATTAGGGGGGTACTCCCCAAATAGTCATAATCTGATACTTAAATGGTACCCCCCCAATTAAACAGCCTAGGGGTTTATTAATCCAGTGTTGACATTACATTGGATATTGCTCTGCAGGTCCATCGCAATCCTCTCCGAGACAAGACTCCGAGACAATTCGACACGCAGCAAGGAAAACAATAGCTGTGTCCAGCTTGAAGTTTGTGGCATCAGGGCGTAACTCTCTGAAAATTCGGACGACAAGAACAGTTTCACTTCTCCAGATTGCGTAATGTTTACCCTCTGGTGAACTAACATAGCAATGGAAAATCACCATTCTTAATGGGAAAATCCACTATAAATAGCCATTTTCCATTGCTATGTTAGTTCACCAGAGGGTATCAACCTTTACAATCTCACCCGGCACTTGGAACTCCTCACTTTCCCCATCTATATATAGTCAGATCTTATTTCTCCATGTCTAATGTGCAGCACCCAAATATCACTGGCCATTTCAGGAAGTTCAATTCTGAAGGTAGCTACCATATATCATATATATACATATAGCCTCAATTTCAGGCCGAAATTTGCAGGGATTGTTTTCCCCACAAGACATGGCACCTGGGCCGCCTTTCCGGGATGGGCATCTTCTTCACCTCGAGTTCAAGCTGGGCAAATCATGATGGGGATGTGATGTAAGTATGATTAGATATGATTAAACATGACTAAACATAATTCATTATGATTAAGTATAATAGGGATAGTGGGGATACGACTGAACATCTGCAAATGGCTGTAAAATTGTTGGTATCGCCCCAAAATATAGCTGTTTGAATCAGGAAAATGATGATAAACGAGTGGGTTTGGGGCCCTGGAGGGTACCCTATTTTGATGGACAGAGGTATACAGTGCGGGAAATTTGTTGGTGAGGGTTATAGGTTATAGCAAAATCACCGGCAAATCATCTGGAAATGATGAGTTCTCCATTGCCATTGCCAGCTTATGCGACTGGAAGAGATAACTTGAAGTTAACCAAAACTGGCGGAGTCATTGTCATGGTTTCTGCAAAACCCCCAGTCACGGCAAGATTGGGTGAGGCTCACTAGTTATTGGGTTTAGCAGTTGAGCAAAAACACATGGCCAGAGGCCAGCGGAAGAGGAGGGAACCCAACCTTTGGAGCACATGCGGGGTCCGAGACGCTGCTCTTTTCTCCGCTCACCGTTCCCCGCATCGTGAAAATCAATGTGTGTCCCACTCCTGTCCAATTCCTTCAATCTACAGTAGGTCAGTAGGTAGGTCCAGCTAGTTTCCGACTTGCGGATCCATCAACACAAGGAGACTTTCAAATGCCGCAGTTTCAACTTGCCCATGTTCAATGCTTTAAGCCTCATTGGGTCTTCCTCTTTTTCGCATCGCCAAAACCTTCACTCTCATAGTTTTCAGCATCCACCGTGTCGTAACCTGATTTCAGGAAGTGATTGCTCCAACTGGTTACTGGAGGTTGTACTATATAATTTTGTCCATATCATGAGACAGTATCCATGTATACACGTCTATTTATTTATATATATACACATAATGATATAATATATACATCATATACATATCATATACACATTATATGCACATAATACACATATACATACACATGTGTATATACATTAATATATATATATATATGTGTGTGTGTCATTAATTTCCCACAAGTTTGAATCCTGTTCTCACCCTGCAATGGGCGCAATGGGCTCTGCCAAGGTGCGCTGTCTCTGCAAAATACCTGCCACTTGTTGCGCCAACTTCGGGGAGGACGCCACCAGGATACGGCCTGGGTTGTTCGATGCGCGGCCGAATTTTGGGTCTTGAAATTGATGGAAAAATCTGCAGGAAGCCCAGAGTTATCACGGAAAAAACAAAAAAAAAACATGGATTATCACGGAAAAAACATGGAACATCTGGAGGAAAGTTCTAGCTATCTGCGTTTAGTTGAGAAAAATCCGGTGTTGCAAGTTTTGCCTTGATTGGATTGAGATGGCCCAAAGGTTCCCCACCAATTTGGGGTTGTTTTGGATATCCTGAGAATTGGTGCTGATTTAACCCAAATTTGTGGAAACTTCAGTTGGGGCAGATAGGGTGATTCACTGGAATTGGATCACATGGTAAACCTCGCAGACTTGGACAACCCATATTTCGATCAAGGGAGATGACACGTGCAAAACCATCTAAGGAGGCACATGGCAACTTGCTTTGACATGCAAAGGTTTGAATATTTCCTGGAAGCTGTTAGAACCTGGCATCATATCCCGAGCCATGAACATCTGTGTTTGCTCTAGGCAGAATGATCACGGGTCTTCATCGATGTGTTGCTCCTGAAACAGCCCAAACTGGGCTCTCATGTCAGAATCTCCCAACTTACCCTCTGGTAAACTAACATAACTATTGAAAATGGCCATTTATAGTGAGTTTTCCCATTAAAAATTGTGATTTTCCATAGCTATGTTAGTTTACCAGAGGGTACAGTGAAACTGGGTTTCATATATGTTTCATCCATCAAAAAGCGAGCAGTCCAACTTTGCTGAGCCACGGGAACTCAAATCAAAGTCACCGCCCATGGTGTCCAAACAAACACCAGCTGCTTCCTCCACGATGACTGCCCCAGCGCAGACATCCCA